TGCCCATAGTTTCACCAATTAAATTCTAATTAAATGCCCAGACATCGTCGAAGCATCTGCACAAGAAGCCGACATGTCAACCTGAGACAGAGCACTTCGGTCCAATCAATCGACGGAAAAATCGAAAATTCAATTAAATTGACGTAAATTATTGTCTACAATTACGTCTTGCAGACAGCTCTCACAACACATTCACTACTCAGCTACATAGGGCGGAATTCAATGACCCGTGAATTCTAATTTTTTTTCAGTTTATGATATAGCTCTACCTTTAATCAATGTCTTCGATTGGCATTAATTTCACCTTAATATGGTGGACCTCAGTGGTCACAATTTCTCAGTACACACCTTCAAGACATCCCTATTTTAGTAGCTAGCTATTTGTAAGCTGAATAGTCAACAAGTTTGGTCTCGTAACTTGAAGGTCCTGGATATGCACTACTGATGAAGAGTCCCAAACTAAGACGAAACAACTGTCTAGTGTTACCTTGTTCTCAATGGTCTCTAATTAATGTTTCAACTCACTACATAGCGAAATGGAACCGGCCAGCTGATTAACTTTTATAGGTTTATTCCATTAAGTAGAAGAAAAAAAGAAACCTCATTAAATCTCTTGTAATAAGAATTAGTGGTATATGATCATAGATATAAGAGACAATATAAATATCTCAAATGGATGCCAAGTAGATTGTATGATAAATGAAAGGGAACAATTGCAACTTCATCGATCTGTAAAAGGCCTTCAGTAGCGTTAACATTGAAGTAATTTTGAAACTGCCTCAACATTAAGCAGTGCAACAAACAATTATCCACCTAATTCAACAGCTACTTAATGATACCGCATATCAAGTGATCCACAATGGAAAGCTCAGCAAAGCTATGGGAATGAAGACGGGAATAAGTCAAGACTGCCTACTACCATAGATGATATTCCTGACTGTGATGGAATGGATCATATGACACGACTATAGGGACAGATAAGAAGACACTAGATGATCTGGACTTTAAGAATTATTTATGTTTAATGTCACACAAACTCGAAGACCTACGGGAGAAAATCGACAAGTTGGCAGAAGGGAAAAATTCATGTGAATATAAAAAAGACAGAGGTGATAATAAAGATAGCTAACCACCACCAACAACAACACCAACATCAAGGATCAATCACCATTTAACCAGAGATATTTGAAGGAGTTCACCTCGTTCCCTTATCTAGGCAGGATCACATCATTTCAACAAAGGCAGTGTCGAAAAACCAAGAAAGACAATCATTACTCTGAAACCATCAATGTGGAAATCTACTGTACTCAGGATAAGGAACAAGATCTAAACTATCAACAGTAATGTCAAGTCAGTACTTCTTTATGATTCAGAGACTCGGTACACACGTTTCCTGTCTGCCTGTTTTCGACATAGAACTTTGCACTGATGTGCGGCAGTTCAAGTCGCCACACTCCCTTCTTGTAGCACACAAAGCAAGAGAAGAAAGTAGGAGAAATGCATAATAATACAGACAGTAAACAGAGGTGTGAGACAAAGGAATAGTAATAACGAAGAACAAGATAGTTTCATTGGAAATCATAAGTCACAAGGGGTGGATGCATCTGCACCAGCCATTGAAAACGATTTTCAGCTGTGTCACCAATTGTTTCCAACCATTGGTTTTACCGTCCCGAAGACCCCAACCAGGAAGTCTACACCTTCCTACGTGGCTTAAACTAACTGTTGTGGATTTCATTAACTGATGAAGCCATGTTTTCGTTTGACCGTCGCTAGCTCTTCTCCAGTCTCACCCTATGTCAGCTAACATCTTCCATCGGTCGAGGAAGGCGTTGGCTAGGCATACGTAACACATGTCCTAACCATCTCAGTCGATGTAATTTCACAGCCTCATCGATTGGTTTCCCCTCCTTACATAGCACTCGACGCCTAACCTCAATATTGCTCACCTTATCATACCACTTCACGCGGGACATAGAACGCAAACACCTATGATCAGAGACAGCTAATCTTTTCATGTCTTCTGCTCTCAAAGGCCAGGTCTCATAGCCATAAAGGAGGACGGAGCGGACTAATGAGCAGTACACACACCCTTTGGTCGATATTCGGTGTTATGTATGTGAATATGAGGACCTTGTAGACTACGAGCGAATCTAACTAATGCGCTGGCTAATCTGTCTTAATCGCACGTCGACAACAACAACAATAATACCGCCGGGCACGCAAGACAAATAAAAGAGAAGACTGGACGTTGATATGAGAGCTTTTACTGTCTCAAACAACAGTCGAAAAATGTTAAACAACAACTCCGTATTTATACAATTAGAAAAATCAATGTCACATTTTAAAAATATTAACGACCTTGGGGATTCAGTAATTTAAATCAATAATCACGCAGATGCGTGAAATCAATGATTATGCTAATGTGTGAAATAAATACTGAATATTAATGATTCCCCTGCGTATATATTATTCGGATATCACGTCTACGCCAGAGACGGCGTAAACTGGCATATGCGAAACTAGCCCTCTGTATTCGTCCTGAGATTTCGTCAGAGATCAACCCGTTGGGGCTGATGGTACTTCCCGAGTAAGTGAAGCGGTCAACGTGCTCTACCACTTCACATCCTATTTCTAATCTAGGGGTCGGTGTAGTCCAATCCTGCAACATCATCTTATATTTACATCTTAAAGAGTTTCAAACAGGCTACAGACAAATATTCTCTATTGTTCCCCTTAGTTTTTTCAGGGCTACTGAAGAAAGACTATAACGTATTACGCAGGATGTTAAATGTTGTCAGCAGAGTAAGCAACGTGCCACTTAACCAGCTTGTTAATATTCTGGTCGACAGGAACATGAACTCATGTGAAAAATGGGCCAAATCCATTTTATCTAACTCACACCACCCTCTTCACTCACAACTCTCCCCTTGCATCTCATCAGGTAAAACAAGAAGCCAATATAGAAAACTATATGCTCGCACCAGCAAGTACAAAAACTCAACCATACCCTACTTAGCTCGTGTTCTGTGTGATAAAGAAAGCATTAGGCGTGACACCTATAATTCATTAAATAGTCAGTAGTACAACTGGATCTCCTCTTTCCAACTCACTTCATCAATAGGTACAACATTTTCTTTCTTTCTGTTCCTTTTCTCTCTCTTCTTCTTCCGTTATGTGCTGCTTTGTCTCTTTCTCTCGCTTACGCCAGTTAATAAGACAGCTCCTACTTTTCTAACACCTTCAAACACTGTTTAAGCTTTACCTTTGCTACTGACATGCCAATGTATTGTTGTAATAATGAAGTGTGGTTTCCTCAATCTATGTAGAATTCTATTTATTGATAATGTACTAACTGGATGCAATACTGTAGTAAAAATGCTGAGAATTCCATTCTGTATCACAAGTACTGTTTTGGAATAAAGCAAATTATTATTATTAATACGAAAGGAAATAAAGATGGACTCGACGTACACTGAGGAGACCGTTGAATGAGACACATCATGCGACAGACAAGCAGAGACTAGTTGGGCGTCCGAGGGTGATATCGAGGAGACAGTGTGAGGAATAAATGTAAGCTTATGTACAACCATGCTGCCAACTAAAAAAGAATCCAAAGAACAGGATGAGGCCCTATGCTCCACTCAAAGTCTGAGGAAATAATAATTCCAAAAGAGTTAAATCATTTTTATAAAGCAAAAAAGAATTATAAATAAAACTCAAATTGAATTGATAAAATATATCTAAGAATATACTTACAATTTGTCGTTTACTTTCTTCACGTGCAGCACGTTTAGCTGCACGTTCCGCTTCAGCAGCCAGTGCTTCCGCTTGACGTCGTTCTGCAGCTTTACGCTCTGAATCTTCTAAAAGACGTAAACGTTCTTGTTCTGCTTCAGCTAGACTTCTTGCCTCGGCACGTCTACGTTCAGCAATGATGAATAATTGTTTTCGTTTCATATGTCTTGCTTGAATTGAATTTGGTGATAGGTGTTTAGTTCGATCGAAATCAATCTAATTATGTGAGACAAAGGTGGAGGGGAGAGTGAATGGAGGGAAGTATTTGAATTATTCCCACATAACTAGATTTTAATGTAGAAATTTCTCTTATTTAAAAGCAAATCATTACATACCCATTGCCAGGTAAGTTCTATCGAACGGCTTCATCCAGTGTGGGGAGGGTGGTCCTTACAAAAATGAAAGGCCGGATACGAACATCTGGTGTACTTACAACCTGACTGATATACGTGTTGGTCTACATAGCAGAGCTGAAAAACCCTGATTCTAAACCTATGGTGTACTTGAACTCCAGAATCCGAATGGACATTTTTGGGATCGCAGCTTTATTGGCTTGTGGATGACTTCAAGTAAAAGGCAATCACCCATTTCGAGGTCTGGGCGTCCGGGCAGTATCCCAACACCCTCGCACAAACTACAAGATTTTGTGTCGTGCATTTCTTGGTGTTCATAGTGCATAATCTAGTACACATCGTAAACTGGATCCATAAACTGCTGATTGATAAGACTGCGACATAACATATATGTTAATGTTTCTCTTTATAAGATTTAATGAATTCAAACACAATAACACAATAAAAAGAATTGGTTAAATCGCTGAATAAAATAAGCAGAAAGTACAAACCTACAAGCTTCCTGTACTTGATACTTACTTATCCTTTTGTTATTCTAAATTTAAGACCGTAAAAATCTGAAGATGAAAAGAAACAGCCACGTATAATTTCTTTTTGTTTCATTTTTTTGCCACCTTCCAAGTGGACCTCCAAGATTTTTAAAATTTCAATAGTGTGAAACATTCCTACACCATGAATTAAAAGTCAATCTGAACGAAGTATATTCTTTTTTCAATAATTTCTCCTCTTCAGGTTCTTACAATTATAAAATATAATATTTATTGTTGTTACAATAACGGCCAGTTATGCGGCGGATACATTTTTAACGTAGAATAACAGATTAGTTATGGGGTGACAAAATAAATAGTCGTATTTGTGTGACAAACGTGCTAGGCTGAATTCGATTACAAAATAATGTAAAACGGGAGACAATGGTGGTGATTAGTCATAATAGATTCGTAGAATACGGGGTAGGAAAATTGACAAGTCAGTTCAAGGTTATAAAAGGTGTCAGGTTAGTGTCGAATGCAAAATACGACAGTATTGAGAGAATGTTTGCATGAAGGGCATAAATTATGACGAATAATTGTAATACTGTCGAATTTTCCATTTATACTATCCGGACTTATTATTGGTGATATTATCTCTTTTCTCAATATATGCCTCCACCCTTGTTTCATTTCACACATTCGTTATTGCATTATGAACCTATTATTGCAGTTTTACTATCTCCTCTTTAATACATACTACTTTGTACTAGCCACTCACCTGACACCTTTTATAACCTTGAACTGACTTGTCAATTTTCCTACCCCGTATTCTACGAATCTATTATGACTAATCACCACCATTGTCTCCCATCTCACAATATTTTGTGATCGATTTCAGCCTAGCACGTTTGTCACAAAAATACGACTATTTTCACACTCCATAACTAATCTGTTATTCTACGTTAAAAAGTGTATCCGCCGCATAACTGGCCATTATTGTAGCGACAACAAATATTATATTTTATAATTGTAAGTACGTGTAGAGGAGAAATTATCGCAAAGAATATTCTTTGTTCAGGTTGACTTTGAATTCAATAGCGATGTTAGTAAATTAGGAGAAGTTTAGGAATATGTCAGCCGGGAATCGAACCGAGACCTCTCTCTCTCTTTGAGGTGGGCAATTATTTTATCAATGCACACACATGCATACTTCTAGTCACCGTTAATTCGAAATTTATCCAATTCACATAATACAAGTTGATGTATTCTATGACAACAAGATAAGTTGTTTTACACACTTTGTACAACTTAGATTACACAAAATGTCGTCACACTGAAAGTCTAAAGTATATGGTTTTTTTATTTTGATTATAGCTCGATTCCACATCGTATTTTTGGTACAAGTATGGAATTTGCAGCATGTGATATCGGTAGTCCAAATTTTGCATGCCGACCATTGATATCAGGTGTTCGTCGGCCGGGGATCGAACCCCGGACCATGTGCATGATCGGCGAGAGTCCTAACCGCTGTGCCACCGAATACAAAACTAAGATAATAACAGCGTCCGTGGCACAGAGGTTAGGACACTCGCCGATCATGCACATGGTCCGGGGTTCGATCCCCGGCCGACGCATACCTTATATCAATGGTCGGCCTGCTAAATTCGGGCTACCGATATCACATGCTGAAAATCCCATACCTGTACCAAAATACTGTGTGCAGTCAAGCAATAATCAAAATTAAAAGAAATAAAAATATTAAATCTACAATTGTCATTAAAATAGTATTCTACTGAAAAAAAAAAAGAATCATCCCGAGGAAAAATATTAAAAAGAAGGGAGTAATTGAATCTAACTTTGAGATGGAGTTATTCTTCGTATTATTATTATTATTATTCGACGAAAGTATTTGCTCAATAGATAACCGCTGTACATCATATCCCATTATGAGTACACTGGAAATGACTATTCCAGGGTTAATGAGATTGTTTTACGTAGGATCAATATTAATTTGCTTATTACACAGTGAAAAAGTATTTCTCACTGGATGATGCAGTTTCAAAAACAATTTACACTTTCAAGTATTGGTTTTGTAGGGATTTTGTTTGATTGGATGGAGAGATTATAACTGAATTGGCGGAAGTTAGAATTCATGGACTGGCCATTGGATCGGGTCCCAGTGGCTTAATGGTCTGCAAGCTCGCCTTGCCACCAGGAAGTCCTGGGTTCGAACCCCCGTGGGGGGTGCGTACTGTTAAAGGGTTCCAAACTAGGTCAATGGAACAGCTATCCAGTACTCCCTGGTTTTCCAATGGTTCTCTAACTAAACAATTTACATTGTTCATAATCATGTCAAATTATAACTATACAGCTTCGAAACTTCCGTTTTACAATTTCTACTCCTTTCTACTTGTTGTAGGGGTAGTAGAATTTTCCAGGAGTCTATCTCGAACAGGTGTTGAATCATTTCTACTGGACATATTTTCACTTGATTCGATAAATAAAACTTTCGTTATCAATCTCTGCCTCCACCTTGTTATATTAGATTTTAGAACTGTTATCTTATCCCATCCTATTGTATAGTTGTGTATACTTGCATATAGTGCAATATAGCTGAGCCATTTTCTAAGTTTTTTTATCTTATCAGCGTAGACTAATCTAGATTTTGCTCTAGATTTTTGTTCATCTAGGCATCTCAGACGTCAGACACTAAATGTAAGTATGACATTTTATGATGTTACCTACACTCAAGTAGATAAGGCGATATGAAGTTTAGTGAATACATTACTACGGTTTATTTGAAACAAACTACTTTTTTTCTATAGTTGGTTTCTAAGGGTTAGTTTTGTTTTTACGAGTTGATCACAAATTGATATCAGTTAGAGAACCATTGAAAACCAGCACTGGAGTATTGGACAGCTGCTGTTTCATCCTAGTTTGAGAATCATCGGTAGTACGACGACATTGATTGGGATCGCGCTAAATCACGAATTGGCAGAAGTTAGAATTCATGGGCTGGTCATTGAATCAGGTCCCAGTGTCTGGTCGGTCGGTCGGTTTTCGACATAGAACTTTGCACCAATGTGCGGCAGTTCAAGTCGCCACAATCTATGTAGCACGCAGAGCAAGAGAAGAAAGTGGAAGAAATGCATAATATAGACAGTAAACAGAGGTGTGAGACAAAGGAATAGTAATAACGGAGAACAAAAGTTTAATTGGAAATCGTAAGTCACAAGGAGTGGATGCATCTGCGCCACTGAGAACGATTTTGAGCCATGTCACCAATTGTTTCCAACCATTGGTTTTTACCATCCCGAGGGCCCCAACCAGGAAGTCTACATCTTCCTACGTGGCTTAGATTAACTGTTGTGGATTTCATTGATTGGTGCCATGTTTTCGTTTGACCACCGCTAGCTCTTTTCCAGCCTGACCCTATATCAGCTAACATTGCTCGTCGAGGAAGGCGATGACTAGGCATACGTAGCACATGTCCTAACCATCTCAGTCGAAGTAATTTCACAGTCTCGTCGATTGATTTCCCCGCCTTACCTAGCACTCGACGCCTAACCTCAATATTGCTCACCTTATTATACCACTTCACGCGGGAGATAGAGCGCAGACACCTATGATCGAAGACAGCTAATCTTTTCATGTCTTCTGCTCTCCATGGCCAGGTCTCACAGCCATAAAGGAGGACGGAGCGGACTGTTGAGCAGTACACACGCCCTTTGGTCGATAGTCGGATATCGCGTCTACGCCAGAGACGGCGAAAACTGGCATATGCGAAACTAGCCCTCTGTATTCGTGCTGAAATTTCGTCGGAGATCAACCCGTTGGGGCTGATGGTACTTCCCAAGTAAGTGAAGCGGTCAACGTGTTCTACCACTTCACTTCCTATTTCTAATCTAGGGGTCGATGAAGTCCAATCCTGCAGCATCATCTTACATTTTACAGGGGCGAATCGCATGCCAAACATGCGGAGATTGTTGCTCAGGGTGTTCAGTAGACTCTGCATTTTGTCAGAGTCCTCGCCTAGAAGGACTATATCGTCCGCATATTCTAAGTCAACGAGATTATTCCCTGGTAGCAAGTCAATCCCTGAGTCGCTGAAGTGAGTTAGGGTTAAGTCCATTAGTACATCTATGATGAAATTGAATAGGAATGGGGATAATGGGCATCCTTGACGGACGCCACTAGTCGTCACCACTTCAGATGACAACTCGCCATAAGCCCTCACCTGGCTGCATGAGTACGAGTAGAGTGCCTTAATCAGTGCAATGTATTTTCTTGGCATTCCCTTTACAGCCAAGCATTGCCAGAGAACCTCCCGGTCGACAGAATCGAATGCCGCCTTTAGGTCAAGAAATATAATGATTGTGTCTGAATGGTATACGAGCCAGCTTGCCTTGTAACCGGAAGACCCTGGGTTCAAACCCTGGTGTGTGTGGGTGCGTACTGCCGATGATTCACAAACTACTCACAGTTCTTCCTGTGTATCAAAGCTAAATTACTTCAATATTTTAACCGCGATACTACATTACTTCATTTACATTATTTTCTGCTCTTGTATTAAAGTAGCCTACAGCTTTTAACTACACAATTCAGTGGAAGATTAAAAGAAATAGAAATAATTGCCCACCTGGTGTACAGACACATAAGATATGGCAACTTAATCGGAGAAGAATCATTGAATTCTAAATTATGGGCTGACACTGATAACCAGCTGTTTATGAATACTGATGCTTTTAAGTTAACATGAAGTTGTGAATTTTAACCCATGACATGTTCTAAATAATGACGAAAGCGTTATATGTGCTGTTAATTCATTTATTCATTTGTGGCACTAGAGTCCTAATAAGTAGGTTTCCAACAAAACTTCAGGGGAAAAGTTCATCCATAAGGTATCTAACTATGTGAAAAAAGGATGAGTATCTATTGTGCAGAGAATTTTAAAGTTAGATGTAGGATGCTGGAGAAGGAAAGCACGTCATTCAATGGGGATTAAACTCAGTAGGCCACACTTTATGTACGCCAATTGACTTTCTACATTAACATTTTTTTTAAATAGTTGTCTGAAAGGCCCTCCTTCTTCACGATGGTCGGATAGTCCTAACGATCTGATTCCAAATCTATGAAAATGATATACATGTAAAACGTTATATTTTAAATTCTGATTTGCTTACAAGCCCACGCTAGTCTACCCTTTATTTTATATTTTAAAATCAGTTTAACACTGATGATTTCCCTCACCCCCGGCAGTGTTGAGACGTCCAAAGACTTGAACCGATATAATTTCATGAGATCCTATGTTCTAAGTATCACATAAAATGGAATACAGTAGTTACATATTGTACAACTGAAACCTATTACATAAAGAAATAAAACAGTCATCTGACGAAACATAAGTTTTATGACATTTGAACAAAGCAAAAACTACAGTTTTAGCAGAATAAAATGGTACCATCTTTTATTTCGTTGCCTTGTCGTCAGCTGCTTACAGGGCAAAGATATTATTAAATGTATCTACAAAAACAATTTTAACATACTTGCACAGAGTTCATTTTAAACAAAAATCAATCGATCAATATACGCATACACTAATTATATATACATATACATATATATGCAATATTAAACACTACTCCGAACAATAATAATCATACACAATGGAAACTTTTCAGCATTTCGCATTCGGATAAAAGAGAGATGAAAAATATCCAGTCACCAGGGTGGCAAAGAAAGACTGATAACTGCTTCTTTCTGGACGCATTAATCAGGTTTCAGGCGCTTGATGGAAATGGCTTCAGCAAACTTGAGGAGGCATCGGTGGCATAACGGTTAGGACGCTCGCCAACCATGCATATGGTCCGGAGTTCGATCCTCGGCTTTTTTCTTAATGTGATTTGTTTTGCATTTGTGACTTCAGATCTTCCATACTTGTTGGTGAACCTTTGAGGGTACCCATTGCTCTTCAATGTCTTTTCAAGAAACTCAAATTCTTCCTCTAATTTCTCTATAGAGCATCTATCTACTTTCAGCTTGATTATACAGGTGAAAACATTGCAGCGATGATCAACAGAAGTCTGAATACATCACTAGCCATAGCCTATCCTGCAGCTAAGCTCGTTCCCATCTATCGAACAACTTGCTCTTTGGTACAATCAAAAATCGATAGATATCCTTCTAATGTTAACTCCAACTGTATTTACAAATTTACATGTATCTGTGGGAGCAGTTACATTGGAAGAACAGAAAGAAGGGCATATCTACAATTTTCTGAACATGTACCAAAAAGCTTACGTCTAAAGGGAACAAATGCTTAAAACATTGCCATCGCCAGGCATCTCCTCGACATGGGTCATGAGGTGGACGTCGAAAAGTTGTTCAAACTTATCAATAGGCAAAAGAGCTCAATTCTCCTCAAGTTTGATGAAGCCATTTCCATCAAGCGCCTGAAACCTGATTAATGCGTCCAGAAAGAAGCGGTTATCAGTCTTTCTTTGCCACCCTGGTAACTGGATATTTTTCATCTCTCTTTTATCCGAATGCGAAATGCTGAAAAGTTTCCATTGTGTATGATTATTATTGTTCGGAGTAGTGTTTAATATTGCATATATATGTATATGTATATATAATTAGTGTATGCGTATATTGATCGATTGATTTTTGTTTAAAATGAACTCTGTGCAAGTATGTTAAAATTGTTTTTGTAGATACATTTAATAATATCTTTGCCCTGTAAGCAGCTGACGACAAGGCAACGAAATAAAAGATGGTACCATTTTATTCTGCTAAAACTGTAGTTTTTGCTTTGTTCCAATTCAGTAAGAGGAATAAATATATGAAATTTTATGACATTATTGTTTTATTATATTTGCTGTGTTACATAATTGAATTGAGAGAAATACAATCATTTAGTGTAAATTTCGTCACAAACCAATATCAGTTAGAGATTATTGAAAACCAGGGAGGCATTGAACAGCTATTTCACTCTACTCTGCGAATCTTCAGCAGTGTACACCTAAGACCCCACCAGAGGTCGAACCCAGGACCTTCAGCTTACGAGACGAAGCTCAGTGACTATTCAGCCATTTGGACTGGGCACTCACTCAGTGACCCGTGAATTCTAACCTCACTTTGTAAGAGGAAGGTCATAGATTCGATAACTGTTGGGAGTGGGGGGTTAGTGGGCGTAGGATGCTGAAGAGCCCTAAACTAAGACGAAACAGCTATCCAGTGCTTCTTGATTTTTATTCATCTCTAACTGACGAAATCTACACTGAAGTCAATTAGAATCCCTACAAAACAAATAGCCTATAATCTATAGCACACCTTGTTGATACTGAGCACAAAGTTGATGTTAATACTGCATTCGAAATTATTTATCGCATTCCGACTAATCTTAACTTTGCTCTACGAGTTCGTCTTCTACAGACAGCTGAGGCAATCGGAATCCACCTGAAGAAGCCACGCCTATGTGTTCAGAAGAAATTTGTACAGCCACTTTCCTTACCGTGGCCATCGTTACAAGACAGGACTACGTCGCCCCCCTCCCCCTATTAAATTATAATTGTCCAAATTATTTTATTTTTATTTTGACCACTTCATCTTTAATGACGTGTTATTCTTGTAAAATTAATTTATTCTATCCATTTCTACTTTTTAAATGTGTATTGATTTTCTTCGTTAATTATCAACCCATTGACATTTTGACACTGTTTAATTATTGTTAACAAACATATCGCCACTTGATTGGTGAACTGTTGTGTAGTGTAATAAAAATGCTATGTATATTAGAGTAGAGCCAGAGATGAGGATCTAATTGAAAAGTAAATATTTCTTCGCTCAATCTTTCTGTTTCCCAAATGTCTAAATGGGGATTTTTTCTATATTGAAATCTTCATTTGTCAAACCTTCAAATTCACTGTGAAGTTACACCACGTTTTACTTTTCTTTATGTAAATTTTTAGTTTCTTTTTTATTTTTAAGAAGAATTACTTTACCTTGGTGAGTCAGTGGCACGGCGGTAAAAATGCCTGCCAACCACGCCTCATGTGGTCCGGGGTCCGATCTCCGGCCGCCACCGACACACACACTCCTTTACCTCACTAAGCCAGTAATAAGACTGGTAAAAAGATGGTAGGTTGGGCATGAGGCTGGCTAGCAACCCCATCCTGTAAAAGTAAAAAAAACAAAACACCCCTGCTACCGAAAATTCAGACCTCTAGCTTGAAGCCTGAATGTACAGGAATAAAAATAAATGTTACCTTGATTTCAGCTGCATAATATAATTTATCACTTCGATCAGATGATACTGCTGCTGATGATGTTGACGATAATGATTGATTTTTATACGTTGGAGCATAAACAAGTTTTTGACCGCGTAGCATATCCATAGCACGACTAAATCCTGTATAATCCATATATTGTACATAAGCTATAAAAGTCAATGGACTACTACTACTACTAGCCGAACTAGTAGTAGTAGGGGAATTTATCAATCCATTCGATTTTTTCGCTTTTATTAACAGTTCAGATGAATTTGAATTAACTCCGCAGGAATTGACTGTTGTATTACTATTATTCTGTAAAGCTGGATTTAATAGACCAATTGTATCAGGACAGATTTTTCCAAATCCTCCAACATATTCTTCTGTGCCTTTTGATTCATTACAGAATGGAGATTCATTGGGTTTATTTTTAGCTGTATTATTATTATTATTAGTAGTAGTTTTGGATATAATAGTAGAAGAAGAGACATTGACACTATTATTGTTATTTATATAATCTTCTAGACAATCAGGATTTTGAGCAGGATCTAGCATAGGAATATCAATCTCTCGGATTTTACCGAATACCTTTAATATGTGTAATAGAGAGAAGAAAAATACACATAAAACTGATTATTTTATTTAATTATTTTTTATTTAAACGCAGAAAAACAATTTGGTACAAAACGGCACCAAGAAAGATACGCCACACAATAATAATAATAATAATAAAACAACATAGATTAAAAGTAAAAATATAAGTAGAGAGCGGATAAGGAACTTCATCTGGAAGGAAAACAGTCATACTTAACAAGTTCAAACAGTATTTTTTGTCAACTATCATCGGGAAGGGAAAAAAGAAGGAAATTGCAACACGTTCGCCATTGATTACGATTCTTGGCCATATCCGATAACGTTTCGAGCCATCGATTCGAGCTATCTCGCGGACCCCAACCAGGGAGTCGTGATGCACCAACCGATGCTAATCTAGCACAAATATCCTTTATCCCACGACGCCACGTCATGGACTGACCACCCCTCCGCCTTTTCCATCCTGTCCCAGGGCTAGCGAACAGAGACATGTACGGAAGCCTCTGGGATGACATTCGAAGCACATGTCCAAGCCACCGGAGCTGGTGTTTCCAGATGACGACACTCAACGAATGGTGATCTCCACTGTGTTCAAACACACGCCGGCGAACCTCAGAATTACTCACGCGATGATGCCATCGAACGCAAACAATCCTGTGGAGACAGCGATGATTGAACACGCAGAGTCGCCTCACATCCTCAGCTCGGAGAGGTTTCACAGGCGTAGAGCAAGACAGCCCGCACCGAAGCATTGTATACCCGACCTTTGACAGGCAGGCTAACATCGCGACGGCGCCAGAGGTGGCTCAAGTTGATGTATGCCACCCTAGCCTTCATTATACGGTTGGAAATCTCATCCGTCACCCCTTCGCCAGCACTCACACAACTACCCAGATACACAAACTTATCAACAATAAAACTGATTACGAATGAGTAGAAGCTAAAATTTTGTATAAGTCCAATCGATAAACAGAAAAAAGGACGACAACAAACAATTCAGATCACAGTCAACTATGTATACAGACACTACTGAAATGCGTAAATGGAAAATATTTGCAACTAATGATGATTTAGCTTGATGGTTATTGTGAAATATTCACTCATTCAGCTTGTACAAAGATGACCTTGCAAATGATATACTTAAAGTGATTCACCTGGATATACCATCAAAGTACTGTTTTACTTGCTTGCCTGACTGACTGGTTTCAACGTAGCATTTTGCACAGATGTGCAGCAGTTCGAGGTGCCACACTCCCTCCATGTAGCACACAAAGCAAGAGAGTGAGAGAGAGAGATAATAAACAGAAATGTGGGACAAAAAGAATGGTAATTTGGGAGAACGATGGAATTTTATTGGACATTATGAATCAAAAGGAGTGGATGCATCTGCACCAGGCACTGAGAACGAGGATTTTGAGCCATATCACCGATTGTCTTCAGCCATTGGTGTTTATCGTCCCGAGGACCCCGACCAGGAAGCCACTCTACATCTCTCTACGTGGTTGGCTGGCTGACTTAAACTAACTGTTGTGGATTTCATTGACTGATGAAGCCATGTTGGTTTGACCACCCAACACTAGCTAACTATTTTCCAACCTGATCCATCCTATGTCAGTCAGCTAATATTTCCCCATTATGGATAAGATTTTATTTTGATAAATCACACAGTGTTGTACAGTTATATTAACTGATGACGTTTCGAGCACAAACTATTGCTCATAATCATATCATACTTGATATGACGAAGGCCTCACCTGAATATTACTCACCTTATTATACCACTTCACACGAGAGATAGAACGCACACACACCTATGATCAAAAACAGCTAGTCTTTTCACTTCTTTCACTTTTAATCGCTATGTCTCAGAGCTATAAATGATGACGGAGCGAACTGCTGAGCAGTACACACGCCCTTTCATCGATAACCGGTTATCACGTCTACTAAGGCAGAGATGGCGTAAACTGGCCTATGCGAAATTAGCCTTCTGTATTCGTGCTTTACTTGCTTACTTAAAGGCCTTCCTCGCTTTCAGTATACGACAGTTTGTAATCTGTATACTTTTTGTTTCCTAAGAAAAACATGCAACATTTGCCTGTCTAATTCTTACTACCAACTAAGAATTAATTAGAAATTTTACTTGATACCGATGGAATACTGATATAACACATTTCTTCACCATTTTACCTTCAGCCGATAAAGGTACAAATTATTTCGCATTAACTATTTAGTAACACTGCTCGCCGATCACTCATGTGGTTCGGGACTCGATCTCCGGTTGACGCTCTCCTTCACCTCGCTAAGCTAGTAATAAGACTGGTAAAGAGGGCAGGTTGGGCATGAGGCTAGTAATCCTATCCCGTAAAAATAAATAAACACCACTGCTACCAAAACTTTATTCCTCTGGCTTGAAGGCGCCCTATGTTCCACTGGGAACGTAATGGACTGAGTAAAAAATTAATTGTCTGATCATCTAAATGACTATAAATGGGAAAGTGACTACATGAAATAATGGTCAGAAGTTCATTGAATTAGCGTGTAATGACTCGACTATTGTCGGACTGAATGAATTTCAACATAGAACTTTGAATAGAAGTGCACTAGTTCAACTTGCTATACTCTCCATTTAACACACAAACAGGTAGAGAAAAGAAAGAAAATATCAATTCAAATAATGCCCTAATGAACAGAAATGTAAGGGAGAAAGAATAGTGACAACAACAAAAAATATGATGGTATAATGGATATGGGGAATTACAAAGGGTGAATGCATCATCTACACCATTGAGAACAATTTTGAGCCATATCACTAATGGTATCTAGCCATTGGTTCTTAGCATGCATCTCGACGACCTTAACTAGGCAGTTTACACTTCACTATGTGACTGACTCGAACCAACAATCCAAGACTTTTTGAATTGATACAGGGTTTTCATTTAACCATCTTCTAACTCCTTTCCAACTTAAACCTTTGTCTGTCTGTATGTCTGTTTTCGACATAGAACTTTGCACTGATGTGCGGCAGTTCAAGTCGCCACACTCCCTTCTTGTAGCACACAAAGCAAGAGAAGAAAGTAGGAGAAATGCATAATAATATAGACAGTAAACAGAGGTGTGAGACAAAGGAATAGTAATAACGAAGAACAAAACAGTTTCATTGGAAATCATAAGTCAGTCACAAGGAGTGGATGCATCTGCGCCAGCCATTGAGAACGATCACTTTGAGCCATGTCACCAATTGTTTCCAACCATTGGTTTTTACCGTCCCGAGGACCCCAACCAGGAAGTCTACATCTTCCTACGTGGCTCAGACTAACTGTTGTGGATTTCATTGACTGGTGCCATGTTTTCGTTTGACCGCCGCTAGCTCTTTTCCAGCCTGGCCCTATATCAGCTAACATTGCCCGTCGAGGAAGGCGATGACTAGACATACGTAACACATGTCCCAACCATCTCAGTCGATGTAATTCCACAGTCTCGTCTATTGATTTCCCCGCCTTACCCAGCACTCGAATAAGGCGTAACCTCAATATTGCTCACCTTATTATACCACTTCACACGGGAGATAGAACGCAGACACCTATGATCAAAGACAGCTAATCTTTTCATGTCTTCTGCTCTCAATGGCCAGGTCTCACAGCCATAAAGGAGGACGGAGCGGACTGTTGAGCAGTACACACGCCCTTTGATCGATAGTCGGATATCACGTCTACGCCAGAGACGGCGAAAACCGGCATATGCGAAACTAACCCTCTGTGTTCGTGCTGAGATTTCGTCAGAGATCAACCCGTTGGGGCTGATGGTACTTCCTAAGTAAGTGAAGCGGTCAACGCGCTCTACCACTTCACATCCTATTTCTAATCTAGGGGTCGGTGTAGTCCAATCCTGCAGCACCATCTTACATTTTACGGGGGCGAATCGCATGCCGAACATACGAAAATTGTTGCTCAAGGTATTCAGTAGACTATGCATTTTGTCAGCGTCCTCGCCTAGAAGGACTACATCATCTGCATATTCTAAGTCAACGAGATTATTCCCTGGTAGCAAGTCAATCCCCGAGTCGCTGAAGTGTGTTAGGGTTAAGTCCATTAGTACGTCTATGATGAAGTTGAATAGGAATGGGGATAATGGGCATCCTTGACGGACGCCACTAATCGTCACCACTTCAGATGACAACTCGCCGTATGCCCTCACCTGGCTGCATGAGTTCGAGTAGAGTGCCTTAATCAGTGAAATGTATTTTCTCGGCATTCCCTTTACAGCCAAGCATCGCCAGAGTACCTCTCGGTCGAAAGAATCGAATGTCGCCTTTAGGTCAAGAAATATAAGAATTGTTGGACGCCGGTAAGAATGCCTATGTTCTAGAATCTGTCGAAGGTTGAAGATATGATCACTACACCCTCTTCCTGGTCTAAAGCCTGCCTGGTTCTCTCGTGTTTGTGCCTCCCGAGCACCACTTAGTCTACGCAATATTATTGAGCCTAGGACTTTAGATACTATATTAGTCAAGCTAATCTCTCTGTGATTATCACAGGAAGACTTGTCTCCCTTGTTGTATATGGGGATAATCAGTGACTTACACGAACCCGACGGGACTTCCTCTGATTCCCAGACGCTGTCTAATACCTCAGTTAATGCAAACAGTATGTTTGATAATATGTTGATAGTAATATAATATAATAATGATAATATGTTTGATAATATTGCTTGTCGATGACGTGTCATGAGCAACCACGCGTGCAAGCCATCTTAATTGGAGTAGATTTACAACTTCATTGATTAACTTCCCTTCCTAAAGTGGCATTCTACGCATAACCCTGATATTGATCACTATATTATACCACTTAACACAGGAGACAGAACGCAAATACATATGGTAAAAAAAACTCGACTATTGTGGTTTCACTTTAACAAGTGTTGTTTGTCTTGTCACCAGTCATTGGAACCAGATTTGAGTACACAACAAACTAGTGGGTGATAGTTTCGTGTATATGTATATATATATATATATATATATATATATATATATATATAATGTCAAGTAAAACACACAAGTTAGAATATACTACTTACTTCGAATGCTTCTTTAAGAATCGAAGGATTGGGCTTCTCTTCATCCACGAGAAGGGATAAATAACTATTAATAGTATCATCACTGTTAGCACTAAAGCGTGGCCTATTATGTGACGCACTGGAAAACCATCTGACAGGAAGACCAGTGAGTACAAGAGTATCAGGTCTCTCACCAGATTTTGTTTCATCCATATTTTGAGCATCACGGAAAAATGCCTCCCAATCATGACGTCTTGGACAGTCATATGGAGCTTCACTTGCACGAACACGAAGATTCTGAGGGAAACCGCTTAACTTGATGAACTGAAACAAAAACAAATGTACTCATTATAATCGAGATTTATGAAAAAGTAAGTATTTTTTTGTGTGTTGATGAATTAATAAATGAACATGCGCACATGGCGAATAAATGATGAAATTTTATATTAGCTTGGAAAACTAGGGAAAAAAGGTAACATTTGAACCATTACCTATTTAAGTCCCACATTCTCTTTTTTGAATCAGAAAGGAGAATTTCATCGTGACTTTATCAAATGTAAAGATTAAACTACTAATCCATTATTATTTTCTTTTATTGTTCCCTTGGGTTCCTAGTGGAACATAGGGCTTCAACTGCACATCTCCACTTACTTCTGTCTTATGCTGTACTTTTCACCTGCATCCATGTTAGTCCATATTGCTTCAACTCCTCTTCACACGATCTCCTTCATGTTACCCTTGGACGTCCCACTCGCCGCTTCCCTTTCGGCTTCCACTCGAGCACTGGCCTGACGCGCGATGTCACCCAGTGGCCTCCTCAGCGAGTGTCCAATCCATCTCCACTTTCTCCTGCATATTTGTTGGGCGATTGGTTCTTGTTTTGTTTGTTCCCATAGTTTCTTGTTGGTGATTCTTTCCGGCCATCTGATCTTCAGTCTAGAACGAAGACAGTTAGTTGTTGATAAAGGTCTGCAACAGGCTGTTGGAAATATTCTTTGTGACCCGCCGCCAAGTTTCTGATCCGTATAGAAGAACTGACTTGACGTTTGTATTGAAAATCCGAATTTTGTTGTTGATGCAGGCTGAGTGACGAAGATTTCCAGATTGGTTTCAGGTTGACGATGAACGTGTTTTTCGCCTTCCCGATTCTCGATTTGACATCCTTGTCCGTTCCTCCTGTAGTTGAGACAATGCTCTCTAGATAAGTGAATGAAGTAACCTCTTTCAAATCCCTCCCGTTGATGGTGATTGGCGCTGGATGTTGCTGCTGCTGTTGTTGTTGTTGGTTGGTTATTTTCATAACCTCCGTCTTGTCTATGTTCACCTGGAGTCCTGTCTTCTCTGGCTGCTTCTTCGACCCTGCGCAAGGATGACACGCAAAATCATGAAGCGTTCCATATTTTTTAACCTCGCCTAGATTACTAGCTCGCTAGTTTTCTCGCCGGTCCCAAGCCCGGATAAAGAGGGAGGGTTGAGGCCTGCTGCTAGCAACTCTACCCCCAAAACCTAACCAAATTGCTACACAAACTTCAACGCATAAATATATTAAAAATACTAATCCATTAATATGTTAGAAATTAAGGTGATTTTAGCAGAGTACTGTTTATTTCTGCCTTGGTAATAAAAACCCAGTCGGATGGAGTTTATACAATAGCAGATGACATTAGTCATATATTTTTACCAGGAAAAGGTAGCTATTAGACTAGAAAAGCGTACTATTAATTTGCAGTATGATTTCAGTTCGTCGAATAATAGAATAATATATCAAATCTTATTCTACTGACAACGACAAAGTTAAACCGTAGTAGTTACCCCCAATCGACTTTACTACTGACCTTAATCAAATAACCAACATCAAGTAATTCCATATTATCTTGTTTATTAGATATATCACACAGTGAAACACTATCATTATGTACTGGATGACAAAGTTTCGAATGAAATTTACTCTTCATAATCATGTCGTCAATTATAATCACACGACTTCGAAACTTGAGTTTTATAGTGTTCTTTGTTCTCTCCTATTTGTCGTAGAGGTAGTAGAAAGTGCTACTGGAGGACATAATGCTTGGAGCGCAACTATGCCTGACTTCCACAGCATTTAAATCTCAAGGGGAAATGTACCAAAAAAACTAAGGGAGTTGTCATTGGGTCACCAATATCCCCGATTGTAGCAGATATATTCATCGATAGGCGACAATACTTAGCGACTGAGAAGTTCAGCCCCACCCCAAAAGTATAGTGGAGGTATGTAGATGATACATTCACCTTACTTAGAAAACAGGACATAAATAGATTCTTCGAACACATTAACTCAAACGTGGAGGCAATTCAATTCACTTATGAATTGGAAAGTCAGGAAGGGGAGCTTCCAATGTTAGATTGTAACATAAAAAGGAAAGAAAATGTGAAGTTTAACACTAGTATTTAGAGGAAACCCACACATTCAAACCGATATTTGGATTTCGGATTATCACACCTTATCTGTGTCAATAATAGTAGGATTGGTGTAATGTTTGAGTAATAGGATACAAAAACTAAATAGTACCAAAGAAAATCTAAGACGGAGTGAGATATATAAGAGAAGCTTAACAATTAACCTGATAAATTAATCAGGAAGTATGTAGGAAAATGTAAAACTAAAATTAATAATAATACTAGTGATAGTGATAACAATAATAATAATATTAATAACGACATGCATGTCAAACATGCACAGGATAATGATAACGCCAACAATAGGGAACATAGATCATCAGTAGTACTTCTATACAAAGAAAGAACTTCGGAAACCTTATGTAGAATTCTTAACAATGCAGGAATAAAAGTGACATTCAAACTCAATTAGAAACAAGATTTGTCGGTTAAAGAATCCTGTGGAGTCTTTAGAACAAAACAATTCAGTTTATCTAATACCCTACCTGCAATGAATGTCAGGTCAAATGCATAGGTCAGAGTAGTAGAATGGGGTCAGTCAGACAAGTGGAGCACAAAAACCTAGCGAGATCTAGATCGATTGGCCCAAATAGGATAAGAAATCTGGAGAATAGTTCAGCTATAGAACTCACTACATGCAATTACACACAACCATAAAATAGGATGGATGGGATAAGATGACTTTTAAAATCTAATGTCACAGGGTGGGGGGCGTGAGAGATTGATGACAGGAGCTTTGTTTATCGAATCAACTTCAAACACGTGTAATAGGAATGATTCCACACCTGGTTCAGATATCTAGAAAATTCCACTACCCCAACGACGACAAATAGGAGAGAACAAAGGAAAATATAAAACTCAAGTTTTGAAGTCGTGTGATTATAATTGACGATATGATTATGAAGAGTAAATTTCATTCGAAACTTTGTCATCCAGTACATAATAATACTGTTTCACTGTGTGATATATCTAATAAACAAGCTAATATGGAATTACTTACTACCACAGTGCCCAAGTTTTACACATATATTAACCAGCATCAAGCAGTAATAAAAGTGCCAAAAATGTTTTCAAAAATGACTATAGATCATGGTGCTTTGAGATCCACTTATTATTTACGATTTTGTTCTTTAATCTACCGCACAATCCCATTCCTTCAAAAAAGACTAGTTGTCCTAACAAGTTTCGCCGCATACGCGTTTTGGTAACTCCAGTTAATTCATTATTCACACATGAATCAAACACTCGATCTTCCGGATACTCTCCATAGATAAGAGGCAGAGGGTTAGGATCAACTCGAAACTCTCCTCCTGGACAACAGTGCACAGTGGAGAGCCACAAGGTACGGTAGTCGGAACCCTCCTATTTATTTTCTATATCAATGAGTTATCTCTGCTCACCGATTCCCCTATGGTCCTACACGCAGATGACTTAAAAATTTGGAGAGAGATGAAGGGCAACAGTGATACGTCCACCTTGCAAAAGGACCTCAACAAATTGTCAGAGCGGTCCATAAAATGGATGCTCCCGATCAATGTAGCAAAATCTGAAACCGTGCGCATTGGACAAGCAAGCACCAGCTCCTACGAACTAGGGGGAATAACTCTCCCATCAGCTCACACTCATTTGGATTTAGGTGTCATAGTAAGTCACGATTTGAAAACTACAGCACACTGTCGCACGGTGGCTGCAAGTAGTTTCAGATCCTTATGGGCAATTTGCAGAGCTTTTACAAGAATCACCAGAGATATGTCCACCTCCTTATATACATCTCCGGTGAGGTCAAGACTGGAAAACTGCATCCAGGCCGCCAGCCCTTGTCTTAAAGGGGACTCACACATTCTAGATAGGGTCCAAAGGAAGGCAACACGTATGGTTCTCGGAATGACTAATTTATCATATGAGGAAAGACTAAACAGTTTAAATCTCTTCTCCCTGTCATACCGTAGGTAGAGAGGAGATTTAATTACAATGTTTAAAATTTTAAGTAATGACTACGCACCAGACCTATTCTGTCTTTACCTTCCCACCAGGTCGGAACACCTTAGAGGACATGGCATGGGAGTTCAAAAGCCAAGAAGAAATCATATTGCTGTGGAGTACTGGTTCTCACACCGAGTCATAAACTCTTGGAACCGACTCCCAGAAGAAGTGGTGTCTGCAACCTCAACTGATTCATTCAAGAAGGGTTTGAACAAGCAGAGAAATTTACTAGAAAAGGATTAACATTGGCTCCGAGCCTTCTATCCTCAACCAATAAATCTGAAATCTGTGATACCACAAGTAACTCCAAATGACAATCAAAAGTCATGTACCGGGCTGGTTGATATAGTTTGCCTTCACTCTTACATCTGAAAAACCACGTAATATCCTTAGACACAGCAACTCCACAAAACAGTAAAAAAAACGTTTAAGTGCTCTGTGAGTTATAATTAAGGAGATTTATATTTTTAAGTGTCAACATAAGTAATGAATCGATAACCCTTTGAGAGAACACATGAATTTAAGACATAGTGGTTACAAAGCAATACAAATTTTGCGGAGACGTATGTGGACTTTTCGGAAAATGCAACATTTTAACCCACACCCATGAAGTGGCGTCGTGGGGAGGATATTTGTGTAAGATTAGCATCGGTTGATGCGTCACGATTCCCTGGTTGGAGTCCAAGAGACAGCTCAAAACGTTATCGGATATGGCCATGAATCGTAATCAATGGCGAAAGTGCTGCGATTTCCTTTACTTCCCTTCCCGAAAATAATTGACGAATGCTGTTCGAACTTCCTAAATATGACTGTTTTTCTTCCAAGTGAAGTGTTTTACCCGTTCTCCACCTATATTTTTACTTTTATTCTATATTTTATTATTGTGTGGTGCATCTTCTTGTATTTAAAATAAATACATAATTAATAATAACAAAAATAACTGAAGTTTCTCTCGAAATCTTTCAAATGGCAGTTCCAATTCTGAATGGGATAGTTTTAAATGGGTTCAGTCTATAGCCTATATGAGTGTGAATTGTACCTGAAAAGAGCTGAATGTTACGACTTCGCCCTGATGTAGACACGCTTTTTTAAGACTTGTGAAAATATTATACTATTGGTATTTTTCCCTCGGGTCCCGAGTGGAACACAGGGCTTCAACAATACATCTCCACTTTGTCCTATCTTCTACCATCCTCTTCAGCTGGGTCCACGATTGCCAAAACTCTCTCATCTCTTCCTCATCCGATTTCCGACATGTCACCTTCACATTGACGACCCACTCGTCACTTCCCATTTGTATTTCACTCGAGCCATGGCCTGCATTGCGCGCGATGTCATTCAACTGTTTCCTCAATACATGCCCGATCCATCTCAATTTTCTCCTATGTATTTGTTGAGCAATCGGCTCTTGGTTAGTTTGTTCCCAGAGTTTCCTGTTGCTAGTTCCTTCGGGTTGGCCATTTGATCTTCAGTATGGAGCCAGCAAAGGTGGCAGCTGTTGATAAAAGTTTGCAATCTGTTGAAAATCCTTTTCGTGACACTTTGGCCAAGTTTCTGACCCGTATACAAGGACTGACTTCACATTGGTGTTGGAAATGCGAATCTTGTTCCTTATGCTGAGGCGGAGCGCAGAAGATTCCCAAACTGGTTTCAGGTTGATGAATGCGTATCTTGCCTCTCCCAATCTGGCCTGCTTTGACATCGTCATCCGTTCCACCGGCCTGTGGTTGAAACCATGCTTCCCATATAAATGAAGGAAGCGACTTCTTTCAAATATCTCCCGTTGGTATTGATTGGTGATAGTTGTTGTTGCTACTGGTTGATTATCTTTATCACCTCCGTCTGGGAAGTACCATCAGCCCCAACAGGTTGATCTCCGACGAAATCTCAGCACGAATACAGAGGGCTAGTTTCGCATATGCCAGTTTACGCCATCTCTGGCGTAGACGTGATATCCGACTATCGATCAAAGGGCGTGTGTACTGCTCAACAGTCCGCTCCGTCCTCCTTTATGGCTGTGAGACCTGGCCATTGAGAGCAGAAGACATGAAAAGATTAGCTGTCTTCGATCATAGGTGTCTGCGTTCTATCTCCCGCGTGAAGGGGTATAATAAGGTGAGCAATATTGAGGTTAGGCGTCGAGTGCTAGGTAAGGCAGGGAAATCAATCGACAAAACTGTGAAATTACATCGACTGAGATGGTTAGGACATGTGTTACGTCATCGCCTCCCTCGACTGACGGGCAATGTTAGCTGGTATAGGGCCAGGCTGGAAGAGAGCTAGCGGTGGTCAAACCAAAACATGGCACCAGTCAATGAAATCCCAAACAGTTAGTCTAAGCCACGTGGGAAGGTGTAAACTGCTGTCTGGTTGGGGTCCTCGGGACGGTAAAACCAATGGTTGGAAACAATTGGTGATATGGCTCAAAATCGTTCTCAATGGCTGGCGCAGATGCATCCACTCCTTGTGACTTATGATTTCCAATGAAGCTGTTTTGTTCTCCGTTATTACTATACCTTTGTCTCACACCTCTGTTTACTGACTACATTATGCATTTCTCCTAATTTGTTCTCTTGCTTTGTGTGCTACAAGGAGGGAGTGTGGCGATTTGAACTGCCTCACATATGTGCAAATTTCTATGTCGAAAACCGACCGACCGACCGACCGACCGACCTCCGTCTGCTCTATGTTCACCTGGAATCCTGTCTTCGCTGCCTGCTAGCTTGTTGCTTTTCGCCTGTGAGTCTTCGAGTTTGTGTACGTGTGTGTGACATGCGACATATATCATCTGAGAAATCCAGATCATCTAGAGACTTCTTATCGGTCGTCCAGGGTATTCCTGACCCCTCGCTCCCCACAGTGTGATGCATAATCCAGTCAGCCCAACACAATTAAGAATATCATCAGTGATAATTAGAACTTTGTCAAATAAATAAAACAAACATTTGAAGTGTCATATCAATCCTACAAAATTTTGGTGATAAAAGGCATAACGCATAAGGCTTTTATGTCAATGGTCTAAATTTGCATAGTATATTTGAAACTGTGCTAACGTTAAGAGTTACCTGACTTTCCAAACTTGTCACAACTCGCCTGACGTCTGATTTGCATTCCAGATCAACTGAAAATCTGACGAATTCTAAAGTAGTGTGAACTACTTTCATAACAGTAGAGGGAGAGAGTATTCCAGGGCAAAGTTGTCGAATTTTCTCGATGATTTCCCATGTCGTGAAAGATTTTAACTGACCGGATGTATCGTGAAGCAAAGGGATCTGGACAGTTATAGAAACCCGTGCAATAGGCTTTAGATATAGATTAAGTGTGGGACAAAAGTCACATAAATCATTAACTTTAGGAGTTTCTGAAAGTTTTGGTATACCAACACTCATACCCCAATGACCTAGAAAATGAAAATAGCGCTTAAGCCAAAAACAGTCTCTAGGGTATACAAGAACAATCTACGAATTGAATGTTGCAGGAATATTTTGAAGTAAGACTGAGTGTTTATAAAAGGCGAAATTCAGCATTATGTTCGATCAGTTTCTTGTTTGCTCTACATAAAGTTAAGCTTTGTCAACGACTTTCTGAACCATTAATACCATCCAGTAGTGCTACTTTATGTTGATGTGAAGTTCTGAGAAACCACGAGAGTCCGATTAGACTGTAAGAAAAACTAACCTCCCTGAAGAAATGAAACATAGTAGACGAAGTAATATATTTCACGTGAACATGCCTACAGATATGTTTTATTCACAGACCAGCGTCCTAGAGAATTATCTACTATTTGTGTGAGTCACTTCGACCACGAAATGACACAACGTGATTTCAGTCTGACAGAATGGCTTGAAAAAGCAAAGTCTGTAAATCATATAAATAAACTTCACATTGGTAGTTAAGTAACTGTCTGGAGATTATTAGGACCGTTTCCACAACCCGTGTAGTCCTTCCAAGTTCAATGGGCAAAATTAAATTGACTGGATACTTATGTAACGGTAAATAATTCCCCAAAATTATTGACCACAGCAATCATCACCGATTATCGGATTCTGACCCTCACTGTTTAAGTCGACTCTTTTAGCTGAAGGCTTTCGGTCAAGGCCATTTCGTACTCCGTCGTGTCACGTTCCTGCACGATCACTAGCTAGCTAAGCACTCAACACGGTTTACTATTTGGTCCCGAAATATATCACGTACTTTGGATGATCAATCTTGCCTTCTGCTTTGTCTTTGGTACACGAGAAACGAATACTATAGAAGTTGTTGGTATAAGATCTTGCATCAGTATACTCCGTACAATTCGCGAACGTCGGTACCGTGAACCTCTCAACTTATATTTTGTGCATACCTGTGTAAGGCTTAAAAAACTCGAGACTGTTTCGACTCTGCAAATGTCCTTTCCTCTCATTTTTTAGGGTATAATGAAAGCGTTTTGTCGGAATGGTATTTAAAGAAACCGAACAGTAAGACAGTGAATAAATGCGGGGACCAATTGGTTCCACGCTAATTTCAAACGTCATTTTCGCAAATTTCCAATTGATCTCCGTCTCAGCCATATTATGTAGGCTAAAAATCACTGAGACGCAAAGAAGAGACGGGCTTTCCATTGTTGCACAATATCAGACGTTCTCTGAAACCAAATACCATATATCAAATGAAACATCGATGTATTCTCAAACATCTGGTTTATGGTAGTAAGTGTCAAACCATTTACGTAGGTAGCATTGCCACAAACTATGTATAGACGCCTTTTCACATATCTGAGCCAGTGAGGCGGTATAGCTGGAAAGTAGAAACAGACCGTAGTTGTTGTGGATTAGTGAAAAACCCAACCTGTGTTTGAATAGGTATATGCTTGATTAACATCTACTACACGTTGTTCTACCTATTCAGTTTCAGTTATATTTTTTGAGTTTCCAAGAAAACGAAAATAAAGTTTGATTGTATATATTAAGTGATAAAACCAAATCAACCATGTATCAGTCAGTGTGCAGCACACTGGCGTTATTGTTAAAGAAAAAGACAAATCTAGAGGCATCTGAAAGTGGAAAAGCTTCAGAACGTTTGGCCAACAAGCGACTCAACACTGCCTTAGTGAGGTGGAACTTACCCTGAGAATGATCACTGACGAACTAATTACCCACTTACTCCTACGTTACCTTAAAGATACAGTAGAAAGGAAAGACTAACTGAAATACGTCGAGAATTTCGCCTCACCCGGAAGAGTCCTGTAAAAATAAACAATGACGACAGAACTGATATGACGCTGAAGGTTGTTTGCGGCTACTTTTTACATAGTCTAGAGATGACAAGGATACTGCGATACTTCCACTAGATTGGTAAGCTACGGAAATTAACAAAGATAGCCATATGTGCCAAAAATTAAGAACGTAAAAGATTATTTACCTCGAATTTCTTGCTACTAAGTATCTTTTCGTCTACAGCTGAGTCTTTCACCACTCTTTCACTTCATGCCAATTTCGGGAGGTTAGCAGGAGAAAGTGTTTGAGGACGCCAAAGTGAAGATACTCCGACTATATACCTAAGGCTGTGGTTGTTGAAGTGTGTCGCCATAATGCTGTTCATCCTGATTTTAGACCAAAATCCGACCTACAGTTTTAGTTCGTTTGCGAAAATACTGGATTATCCAGTAATAATGAGCCATGAAGGCATAGGTGTATGAAGTGAGTGAATTCACCCTAATGATCAAAAACCATAAGGATTTTATTGAAAGTTAGTCCTCTTTTTCAAACAGTTCTTAAATGGCATAGGGAATGATGCGTGTGAAGACTAACAGTGGTGTATATTTAAGATCTTCTATATTCCTGGAAGAAAAAGCATGTAAATTTCTATATACGGCATGTAATCTCAGTTAATGTAGCAATATTTAGCCTTTGTCCTCAGGACTTGACTGAGTCATCGACCTACACTTCAATATTTTCGAAGAATTGTAAAAAGTCCAAACCTCGCCTGATTTACTAGTTTATAAGTTTTCTGGCCGGTTCTTAGACAGGAAAAAGGGGAGAGGCTGGGTGTAAAGCTAGTGGCTTCACTTCTGAAAATCGGTCGAACCGATATAGAAACTTCAAGAAACGCAAAAATACAAGAGGGAAACTTGTTCTTGCCTGGAATCCGAGGGACGGAATGATGCAGGCTGGTGAAAGACTTCAGGGGACCAGTCAGCCAATATGTCTTCCTCCTACAAGAACAAGGGTAAGCACGGAGAAATGGGATGACCGCAAGATGTGGGGACCTAGCGAAGCTGTTCAGAATGCATAAGATATGAGAAGATATGGCAGTGAAGTGCTAGCAGTCTGTGACAGCAGGTGGAATGAGTGTGGACCATCGAAATTGTTATCTTGCGAGTCATTAGTAACTACGGTCACCCATTTGTGGCCACACTGGGAGTGCCTATCATGATGTCACCAACAGCGGACAAAGCTCTTGTGCGATGGGAACCAACCTCCTTCGAGAAGGACAGTTACAATTATTCAATACTGAGCTTCTACAAACAACATATAACAAGAAAAGAAGAAGTGGACTTCTAAAGATAACTCAAAACATCAGCGGAAAAGACCCAGGTTAGGTGGTGACATCAAAATCCTAATTGGTAGTGTGAATGCTAAACCTATGGCAAACAACTTTGGAAGAGAACTTATAATGGATCGGGAGGCTCTTGACGAAATGAGTGGGAAGGGAGATCTATTCGCAAACTTGGTGATTGGAAGCAACGCGTATAAGCAACAGAACACAGAAATTAAAGCGTTGGTTACGCCCAGCAGACATGTCGAAAACCAGATAGACTTCATTTCAGTCTCAAGAAGGTGGAGGGGGATACCATTAGGTCACGTCATCTTGGAGGAGATAGAAGATGCTCCGGATGCAAAACTTTGCCAAGAAGAGACCGGATTCAAGAAAAGCAGGTCATGTCCTCATCAAACTGCGATTCTCTGCATCATAATCGAACAGAGAATTGAGTGCCTGTTAGACCTCTAAATCAGCTACATTGAGGAAAACATTTCACAGCTATATGCCACTGTCACATGTCAGTTTATCCACAGCGAAAATCTCAGCGAAGCCTTTGAACTAAAGACTGTTGTAAAGCAAGGATACCTGCTACCACCGGTAATATTCGTGACTGCAGTAGACTAGATCATGCGGCTGAATGTATGGAGCAAGTAGACGTGAATACCTGGGGACGACAAGAAGACTCTAGAAGACCTGGGCTTTGCAGCAATTCCTGTCTAATGTCACGCAAACCCGAAGATCTGCAGGCTTATGCTAATAAGTTGTCGAAGGGGACAGATGGAGGAGACACGGCTTCATATGAACATGGAGAGAACAAACATGCCGAAAATGGCCAGACAACAACAAGAAGCCTCAGTCACGTTCAACAGAAGGAGTCTGAGCCAGCTCACTTCAGTCATTAACCCACGTGGGTAGCATTCTCTCAACTACAGGTGGCGGAATAGAAGGTGATATTAGAGTCAGGATCAGAAAGTAAAACGGGTGTTCAATACTCTGAAATTATCGTGGAGATTTATTGCACTTATCACAAGGCGCGAGATACGAATTCCCAATACTATCGTTAAGTATCCACGTACGCCTAAGTATACAAATTCCCCTTTACCATATTTGTCACGTGTTTTATGTGGTGAAAATAGTGTCAGGCATGAACTAGCTAACCTTCTTTGTACTAATAAATAAACCATTTTCTTCATCCGTATTTCACAAAGCTTTATTGTTATTGTTCTTCTCATATTTGTAATCCTCTCATTTTCCTGTTTTAATTTGTTTATTTTTAAAAAATTGTAAGTGTCGTTAATCTGTGTAATAACTGTTAATTTTGTCTTTCCCCTCACCGTGCTATACGAACAGAACATTAGATTCAATAATCGATGACATGCTAAAACTTCCAAACTGAATCGACAATCCTGCTTGAAAAAGAGCCACTGTTATTATTATAACTATATTTTTTATTGCTCATTTTGTACTTCGAATGTTTTTGACCTTAAACCGTAAATGTGGACAAATTTCTGTGGTTAATTTCATTGATATTTTGAATGAATCAGATGCAATATTGTGACAAATGCTGAGAATTCAGTTCGGTATTATAAGTACTGTTTTAGAAATAAAATGAAAGACGCTATAGCCAGTTTCAAGGTCATGATGGGTTCCTGCGTCCACTGCTTATATGTTCTCGTGAATTAGTTTTCCATTGAAATGTGGAGGTTTTTTATTTTTTGCTCATTTTATTCATAACGTGGTAAAATTGTTTCGTAAGACTTTTAAGTGAGTGTTAAAATTTTCTTGATGTTGAATGAAAGTCCGGTGACCTGAAATATTCAGTTGGGTTTGTAGTACCCATATACCAACCATAAACATACGCTTC